TGGACATCAAGACTATTCTGAAGACATTAGCAATTACATAAATTTGTTGAAAATAACACAGAATAGAATTGATACAAATATCAGAGATTATTCCTCAACCACAAAGAATTAAAAGAGGATTAATTAATGGCTTAGGATCAATATTCAAATCTGTAACTGGAAACCTAGACGCATCTGACGGAGAACGTTACGAGCATATCATTAGGGAATTACAAAACAATCAAAATAGTTTACAAGAAAGTGTTCTGAAAGAAAACTCGCTTTCTCTAACAGTAATCGAATAAATTAACCTAACTAATAAACAAATAAATCACAACGAAAAACTTCTAGATTCTAGAATCAAAAATTAACCAAATTGCACACATGGTACAGAAGGCAGCATACAGAGAAAATCCCCTCTATATCAAAGACATAATAAATCAAATAATCAATATCTATGAGATAATTGACTCTATTTTACAAGATATAGAAAATTCCTTAACTTTTTGAAAATTGAAAATTATGCATCCAAGCATAATAAAAACTGAAGACCTTTATCATGAATTAAACAAACTTCAACAGCATTTAAGTTCTGAACAAATGCCCCTAGCGGTTACTTTGGAAAATACTTCACTTTTTGAAAAAATAATTGAACTGGAATCTTTTATCATTAATAATAGAATAACATACCTAATACATATAGCAATAATGTATTCGGAAATTTTTGATTACTTTCATTTATACTCGGTTCCAATACTTTCTCAGAGTCAGTTTAAGGTTGTCTTACCGCGAAATAAATTCTTGCTGAAAAATAAATTGCACTACACATACTATGGCCAAGAATGTCAAGAAGTCACTCCGAAGTTCCATATTTGTGGAAAAGAAGACATTCACAAAATCCAAGAAGACAGCCCATGCGAAATTAAACTACTCCACTCTGACAAAAATACCTGCACCTGCGAACAAACCGAAGTTGAAGTCCCGCAAATTATCATCAATCGATTGGACGATTCCAATCAATGGATATTGGTTGTTCCTGTCAAAGAAGCCATCCAACTCAAGTGATTTCAACAAAAAGAAGTACAAAACATCATTGGAACATTTTACAGTGGCTAGATAAACCTTTACATACAGTGGCGACAATAGAGGTCCCGCCGCCATTTTGTTCCCAACCTCTTGTTACTTTTAAATATGAATTTATAGAATTTAAATGGACATCCTTCATAAAAAATTGAAATCGACGTATTTGATGACTATTATTAGGTCCATCAAATACGTTGTTTTCCATGTTTTATGATGGATGTTCACCTAAATCCCATATATTTATATTTGAAATAAGCAATAGGTGGGAACAAGATGGCGGCGTTTTCAATATAAATATATGGGATTTTAGAACCAATCAAAAATAAGACAGCAATTGTCGCCACTGTAGGTGATAGAGTCACTGTAGAACATTTATGCTCCAAATACCGATTGGTTGCCAAGTGGCCACCGCTTCCAAAATAGTCATCAATGAAAATAGGACAATCAAGACCGATATTCAACCGATACTGTTTCTGACATACCAAATACACTCGCCATGATGCCGACCCTCAATCTAAGTCGACATCTAAATTATTTGAAGTTAGACGACCTTCACCAATTGAGCAAAGAAGTAATGGACATACGCCCACAACTGAGCTTCACCGAAATCAATAGATTGCCCAGCCTTGGGACAATCCTTATATGTATTTACACGGTTGGCAAGCCAGCTTCTTACATGCGGAGATTTCCAGTGCTATAGAAAGAGATGTCAATTTGATAGGCAAAGGCTTTAGTGAAATAAGGACGGAGAAAAAGCCGTTCCAGCAGATTTCCCTTCCACCGGCTCAACGACTCAAGAGAACGCTTTCTTGAGAGAGGGGAATACTGTGGGAACAAAACAATTCCTCGTTGCAACGTTGCCAAATGTATCGTAATATGTACCAGACTTTGTAGTGTGTTATTTTAGTTCAAACTAACCCGTCCTCGTGATAAAAAAACAACAAAAATAAACTTATAAATAATATCAAAATAAAATCGTGATAAATTACATAATGCAAAACATTATACCATAAAATGGAATTATATTAGTTTTCTGTTCACGCGAATACATTTTTTTTAAAAATATCTATTTAATATTTCGTCCGCAAAAGGCTATGTTAGAATAAGCGAGCCGCCGAGCAGCCAGCGCAGGAAGACCGAGTCCGCGATGCGCGCCGTGGAAGGGCGACGGGCAGAGTTGCCATGCTTCCAATTATTAAAAACGAAATCATGTTCTTTCTTTATCGCAAATAAATGTTATCTTGTCGGAATAATAATAAATTATTTCTGAGCATTCTTATGTTGAAATACTATAAATAATATTTTTTACAAATTTCTTTTTTTTTTGCTAAGTGCGTAACTTTTTTTTTTAAAACAAAAAGTACTAAAAATGTAGATACCTATTATTTTAAGAATTTCATTCATATCTGTCAAAATATTGATTTCAATAACCACCAGATCAAGGTTACATGATAAAAATAATTCACGATGCATTACTATCCATAATCATGCATGGTGCATAAACATTCTATGGAACGGCAACACCGGCTAGTCTTCTTCGACTCCGCCGTCGGCCTTCGTCTTATTGGAGGTGGAACAGGGGAAATCGTGTTCGATCTCTATTTACCCTTAGACTTTTCCTATACATTTCATTCTATTGCATTGAAATTGGCCTGTAAGATGTTCGCTTGCCAGGCCTGTATATGTCCTCATCGTTATTGCCTGTATCTTCTTGGTTTACATGAAATATGTAAAAGCTGCCATGAAGAAGAAGAGGTCCACCCCCGTTCCAGAAGAAAACCGGAGTATTCAACTCCCCCGCTAGCGTGAAAGTTGAAGCTAAGAAGGGAGGAGTTATATCACGTCTATTTGCTGAGTTTTCATTTAAAATGCTTATTCTGCTTTTCAGCTTATTATAAATATATGTATTTCCTTAGGATAGTCAGTCAGTTGAAATTTATTATACTTATAACTTTTATTGTAACGTGCTTTCGCTAGTAATAATTTCGAATTTTTAATAAAGTCATTTTTTGAAAACCAACCCTCGGTTGCTGACTTGTTAACTCCCATAAAGATTTAAGTGCTCTAATCTTCGTTTTCATATAATCGATATTGCTAACATTACCAACAACATTATAGCTAACCTCTTTCTGATAATCTTTTATATTTTTGACATTTACCTATATCTTATATCCAACAAAAGTAAATCATAAATGACTCGCAATAAAAAGTAGATTCATAATGGATAATCTTAGCAATATATTTTCACAAACATTATTACTTTAAAAACAAGTTTTTTCTCAACAGTTTTGAAATGAAATACAAATTATGAGACATACTCTTCACTAATAATTAAATACCAATATTATCTCCTTGACACACTCCAGGCCCCCTTGACTCTTTGCTGTGCCAATGTTTACTCCAGTCTTAAGTTGTCTAATATCAGTCATAAATTCCAATAAAAGCAATTGTACTACTGTTGATAAGCTTGATAACTTCCACCTGAACCTCTTCTTCAGTTCTTCCTCTATTATGTGAATGTTAATCTTCTTGTCCACTCTTCGATATCAATTTGATTTCTCCATTCAAGAGTCCTGATTTTACAAATTCTCTAGTATTAGTATTTATCGTTTCAATAGCTGTATTTACTGGACCGTTATCTTCATTTATTGATAATAGTAGATCGCAAACTTGATTGGGGTCAATCAATCTTTGAAGCAAAACTTTCTAATTCCCTGATAACGCTGTCAAATTTACTATGGTGATCTTACGGTTTGTTGTTTCTTCCCACTTTCATAGTTAAAAGCCTTTTCTTAAGTTAAATTAGCAAAAAAACCCGCCTGAAAAACATTTCACAAACATTTGTTAGTTTAGCGGTTGCATCTTAAATTATGTCAAGCTGTATATCAGAAACACTTTGAACCATTATCGATTTGGCTTTGGCATCCAGAATTTTGAATTCGGGATTTTTCCTTTTCTGTTAAACAAACAGAAAGTTCCTTTGCCAGTGCATTAACCAGTTGTTTCTCTTCTAGTAGGGCTTTGATTCTAAACTTCTAGATGTTCAATCACTGGGCGATCTGGGCCTGCGGATCATTGAGAACTTCTACTGATGAACATTTTGCTAATGAAATTGGACAGCAAAACTATCACTCACTTCGTAGTAGCAGCAAAACTAATCATACTGATTTCCCCTAAGTCAGTGTAGTTTACCACATCAACTTCAAACAATTTCATTCAGCCAAAATACAAATAATTCAAACAATGTATTTCTTCGTAATTTCTACTTTTATATTAAAACTCTCTTTCATTGTAAGCTATAAATCTCTAGCTGTTAAAAAATTAATATTCTTCAAGATCATTTTTATGTGTTAGTAATTCCATAGGTAAGTCTTCTAATTTTCCTAATTTGATTGCAATCTTGTACAAAAAGTGATAACAGTACCTACATTATCTAATGGATAAATAATTTGTATTACACGGTAAACAAGATTTATCAATGGATAAAGTGTTGTTATCGCTATCGCATCGTCTGCGAAAATAAATCATTTTTCAGCATATAGTTTGATAGGTAGAAATAACGATGGAGGTTCGAGTTTTAGGAAAAACCAAACGAAGACAATTAGTAAGTTGATTCTACTGCCTTGAAAACTGTTTTAGCTTATGATGTGGTGTAATGACAGAAAAGTATTGTTCTCCTATATTAATAAATATTGTTTTTTTAAATATTACATAATGTCTAATTACCGTTACCATAAACATGATAATCGACACTAATATCCAAATTACACCCAATTTTATATGTTTGCATAGACATTTTCAGTTAGTATTAGTTTCTAGGGTTCTTCATACCACGTTTATTGATAAAATTGGGTAGGTATATTCTTCACCTAAAAAACGAAGCTCTCATTCGAAAAAATCTGAATTTACAAACCATTTATTTATAATTCATTTTTCAGGGTTGGATGATGAACCTGTTTCGCTCTCTGGTAAGCGCCTATGGAGCAGACAGCGAGCGCCAAGGGATGCTGCCCTCTGACGCGGAAAAGGGCAAAGATGGGGGCTGTAGCGACACCGTTTGTTCGATCGCCGCGAGCCCTTACAGAATCCTTAGGGTAAGTCGATTATCTTGTAGATGTCACCTTGAATACCTTTGAGCAAACGAATACCAAATGATGTTAAATATGAAGATTTGTATGTATTTGTTTTGTCCAAAGAGCAAACACTGGAAAGAGATTTTTTGTCCATAAGATTCGCATCATATGGGAAAAGGTTTTTAATAAATATTTTTTCACAATGTTTGGGGTCTTTATAATTATAAAAAGCAAAATTTTGCCTCCAAATTACTTAATGAGACCACAAGCAAGAAGTGTATAGACCGAGGTATAGACTCTTCGAATTGAACTTATTTCTCAATATTTCAATAAATCTAACATTCAATTGTTTGGTTTTTCATTTGACACCTTCCGGCGTGAAAAGCCATTTGCAGCAACGGCAACCTCGCATTCAAACTCCAAGCCCGCTTTTTGAAATACAAGGTTTCCCCTCAAAAACTGGAACATTTCTTTTCATCACTCATTCGCTAACGAGAATTATAACGAATATTATAACTAACTGAAACCGGACCAATAAAAAGAAGTGTAAATCTTAAGATCTTAGGTTTGCTTAACCGTTTGCGTCCATCTATTATTCACAAGACTATTGAAGCACTTTTTGCTATAACAAATGCGCGCTTCAATAGTAAATTAAACAAATCCAATCCCAATGGGTCTAACATTAAAAAAAAAATCAAAATTTCTCGTTCAGTTATTCATATTATTTATAAGCCTTCAACTTCTCAGATATGCATTCGACAGAAAATGAGAAATTATCCTTGTTTGGGTTTGAATATAAACTCAAAACTTGATCATTTGAAAGAGCCCTGTCGTCTACATCAACATCCTTGACCTTTTTTTACTTTGTCGAATGCTTGAGAAAACTTCTAGATTACAGTTCCTTCGCCCCAATAATTTATTTCAGACCTCTAAACAGTTATAATAAACTGGCACCGAGGCTTTAAAACTACAGTAACAAATATAAATACCTACATAATAATGTAATTAAACGCTCATAATTAATTTAAATTTGAACTTTATATTCTGTTTTTTCTCAAGTAGTCTTAATGTTCTTGATAGTAGCCTTCAGTACCGTTTGTGGTATTCTGTTAAGTGCTGGTATACATCTTGGTATGAGTCTTGTTTCTTTTTGGTTCTTGCATTATGTATTTCGTAGCTGTGTGTTATTTCTTCTGCTGTAGGTAGCTATAAAACTGATGTTTTCATTTAGTTTCACATTTATTTTATGCAGTTTGTTTTGTATTAAATAAATTAATTTTAATTGTTCTAGCTTACATATTTTTAGGAAGAGGTGTTTTTTGTATATTCCTTCACTAATGTCGGGGTTAGCAACAAATTCGAAGCAGGATCGCTGAAACAGGTTCCTGCTTGTGCTGCTATGGTCCTGCATCATCCTGCTTCAAATCTGAGCCTGGCAACACTTACTATTTTCGGAATACAGCGATTTTTATTTTGGTTGCTTAGTTCACCCTTGGCAACACACTGGAAGCAGAATCGCTCAAACATGTTCCGGCTTGTGTTGCTATGGTTCTGCCTCATCCTGCTTTAAATCACACTCCGGCAACACGTACTATTTTCGAGATACAGGGATTTTCATTACGATTCGTAACTTCACCCTTGGCTTGACAACACATTGGGAGCAGGATCGCTCAAACATGTTCCTGCTTGTGTTGCTATGGTCCTGCCCACTGATCTCAAGAATCTGAACAAAAACAACTGTCTGGGACAGCTGTGAGCGTGTGCAGTAGATACATGTATTGTGTGTGCACAAAATATAGCCAATTAAAATGAAGGAATTTCAAAATTTAGAACAGTTGTTCGAAAGATAAGACACTGCGCAGGCATTAGGCTGTTCCGTTGCACAACTGTTCGTAGAATATTGACCCCAAATTTTCGCACAAATTTTGCCAATTAAGCCGTATGAATTATTTATCCATTTATTTTTTAGATCAGTGGTCCTGCCTCATCCTGCTTCAGATCACACCACGGCAACACTTACTATTTTCGAGATATAGGGATTTCCATTATGGTTGGTACTCCACCCTTGGCTTGGCAACACATTGAAAACAGGACCGCTCCAAAATGTTCTTGCTCGCATTGCTATGGTCCTGCCTCAAACTGCTTCAATCACCACAGCAACACCTAATATTTTAGAGATACACACTGGTAGCAATACAAGAGTATAGTCGTAGAAACACGGCGAGCTCGGGACACTGTTGCCAAATGTATCGTTATGAGTGCTTGTCTCTGTATGTTGGTATTTTCGACGAAAAGATCTAATCCAAACTATCTCAAACTAGTCAAATTAATCCGTACTTTTGTAATGAATGCTAGGCTTTGTATGTTCGTATTTTAGACGAGAAGAGCTAATCCAAGCTCATCCAAACTTACCCGTCCTCATACTAATTGCTAGTCTTTGTATGTTGGTATTTTAGACGAAAAGACCTATTCCAAACTAACCCGTCCTCGTAGTGAAGGCTATTCTGTGTATGTTGGTAATTTAGACGAAAAGAGCTGTCTTCGATATGCACGCTAGTCTTCGTATGGAGGTATTTTAAACGAAAAGATCTTATCCAAGGATTGAACTAAAACTATCCCGTCCTCTTAATATTCTTTAAGAAAATAAAATAAATAAACACCTTATGGAAGCGCAGGGAGGCCACCCATCCCAGGATGGGTAGTAGTTTCAATTCAATTCTTGGATTAGCTCTTTTCATCCAAAATACTAAGACACAGAGGCTCGCATTCATTACAGAGGGACAAGTTAGTTTGGATTAGTTGTTTTCGTGTAAAATACCAACATATGAGACAAGCACTCATTACGATATATTTCGTAACGGTGTTTCGAGCTCTCCCTATTCCTACGACTTGACTCTTGAAATGCTACCAGTGTTTATCTCAAAAATATTAGGTGTTGCTGGAGTGAAAACTGAAGTAGAATGAGGCAGGACCATAGCAACACAAGCAGGAACATGTTTGAGCGATTCAGCTTCCAATGTGTTTCCAAGACAAGGGGAAGTTACGAACCATAATGAAAATCTCTGTATCTCGAAAATAGTACGTGTTGCCGGGGTGTGATTTAAAGCAGGATGAGGTAGGACCATAGCAACACAAGCAAGAACATGTTTGAGCGAACCTGCTTCCAGTGTGTTGCCAAGGGTAAAGTTAGCAATCAAAATGGAAATCGATATATTTCGGATACGGTGGGTGTTGCTGGATTGCGGTTTGAAGCAGGACCATAGCAGCACAAGCAGGAACATGTTTTAGCGATCCTGCTTTGAATGCGTTGCTAACTTTCCCGACATCCTTCACCCTTTACTAGGTATATGTCTTTCTCAAATATCACTTTAAGAATTTATTTCGTAATCATTGTTGTTTATTTAGCTCAATCCTTGTGTTTCCCCAACATGTTAGTAAAAGATAATTTATTGATTTTTATGTTTGGGTTACATGGTATTTTCCCTGTTTCTTTTATACCCATATAAACTGTTTATGAGCGTTTACAGGGCAGTGGCGACGCCAGGGGGAGGCCAGGGGGGGCCGGGGCCCCCCTGAAATTTAGCTGGCCCCCCCTGAAAACTTGCCCTCATGTCGACAACAATGCAATGCAACATGAGTAACCTCTGCTCTCTGTATTTGATATTTGGTGGGCGCCAGGCAACCGCGACTATGCTTTCGCTTTTCTGGGATTCCCCCAAACATATTTGTGTCAGCAGGTACAGGGTTTGCCTGTGTATTTTTGGCACCTCACCTGAAGCCGGTTTCTCAATAGCAAGCAAGTCACCCCCGGGTCAGAGCAGTTAACCATAACTGCAGGGTAAACATTGCAATTGGACACGTTTACCCTGGACTAGCTATCGAGAAACCGACCCTGAACGGTTAATTGAAAAGGTATCAAGAAGATTTACCTATACCTACAGGGTGTCCGTTTTTCGAGAGCAATCATTGGAATATAGGAAACGGTAAGAGATACAGGTTCGGTTAAATTGGGACAAAATTGCGCAATTTCTTGCTCAACAAAACGCTACTTCGAAATTTGGAAAATTCCGAATACTTCCGGAGATATCTACATAGACTCATTTGTAAAGGTATTTCAAATAAACTTCACTTTATTGGGGCAACTTTCTCCCCTCTACATAATGGTGTAACCAAATTTGAAATCCGACGTTTCGTCTTTTGCCGATCATCATCAACTTTATTTTTTTAAATACACTGAGGAAATTGAATTCTTAAATTGTCTTACTGGAATTTTCTTCATTGCAGACAAAATATCTCTAATAACTGCCATAAATTATCTATCTATTACTGAATAACGTATTTTTATGGTTGCTAAAAATTCTTTGTTGAATTATCCTCATTATCACCTATAGTTATCTATGAGCTCCTATAAAATACTTTACTCTTGTTAAAAATTTAATTTACTGATGTATTATATTCAAATTTCTTCATACGAATTTACTACAGTAGCTAGATACTTAAATATGGTTACTACACACGATCTTTAAAATTGATCTTCATAACCATCGATATACGTTTTTTAACAACTATTAGTTAATTTTCAGTCTTTAAAATGTGCGTTATAGCCATAATAAACTTAAGCGGGCTGTTATTGGCTTCGGCTATTATCGAAACAACCCGAAGCGCGCCATAATGGTTTATTTTGTAATTTTTCTGAGCATTCCAATTATTGCTTTCGTGCAAGCATGTAGCATGATCCCGCTCATTTGTGATCAGGTGTTCGTGTCGTGTCGCGCGATTTTTTGCTGTAAGCGTTGATTAGTTAGTGCGTTGCGTTGGTGAATTATTTAAATCATTTTGAATTATTTATCATTTATAACCTTGGATTTTGGATTTACACTGGCACTGGTCTGACAATGGCGTGTAAAGTTGCCCTTCTAGAGTGGGGCTTACAGTCATTTATCGAAGGTGAGCTATGAGTAGAGTAGGTATAAATATAAACCCCTCAATGCTTTCATTAATTTTCAGATTTGGAATAATTA